TCTCTCTCTCTCTCTCTCTCTCTCTCTCTCTCTCTCTCTCTCTCTCTCTCTCTCTCTCTCTCTCTCTCTCTCTCTCTCTCTCTTACTCTTTCTTCACGAGAGATATTGCAAAATAAAACATAATCTTTTTATAATTTTTACTACAATGTTTTCTCCGTACAGAGAACAACAGAGGCAGTTTTTTAATCAGCACAAAGTGCATAATTTAAGTTTAATTTGTTGACTCCGTCAAAAATTCTTTCTGCGAAATAAATGTTCAGGCATCGGTGTATTTGCTTTGTGATATTTTTCGCTTATTACTGCTACAACTACCAAAACAGTCAAAGTGACGGGTTCGTAATCTCTTGTGAAAAATGCTAATAGCGTTTATAGCGGTGCGTTTTGCATTTTTAATTGACGTTGGACAAAACTGAAAAAGACAGACAAACATTTTTCCCCTTGCCTGCATATTTTTTTCAAAACCCCGTCGTTTTAACCGCTCTGGTAGAAACGGGTCGTTAATCGTCGACTGTCACTAACACCATTTTTTTAGTCGACGATTAAATATTTAATACTCATCACGGAAATTAAGCTGCGCCTGCTATTAGCCTTAGCAGATCGCGAGTCGTTAGAACAAATCGACCGCCTAACCGCTGCTGATTCTCGTGTTCTGGAAATCTCATCTCGACCAGCGCTGGGTATTAATCGATGAGAATTTTCTTCGATGCTAAAATAATCGGCAAAGCCATTTATCAAAATTAATGAAAATCGCGTCAGATGTATAAAATCACAAATAATTTCATCGGTTGATAAAATTAATCATTGATCAGTGTATAATCAATTCCATCAAAGTTTGATCAATGATAACGATGGATAAAAGAATAATTAATTTGTCTAAATAATTAATAATAATAATACGTAAAAGAATAATTAATTTCATTAATCAATAAAATTATTTGTGATTTTACATGTAACAATCGATTGATTCTAATGGTTGATTCGCCGATTACTTTAGTCAAAAAAAATCTTCATCGATTAAGAGGATGCTGAAGCTAAAAACAGAAACTTTACCGACAGAATTTCTGCAAAGTTTACGTCGTATCAATTGCACAGAATTTTTTTCTTATCGACATCGTCCGAGTTCGTCATCGACTTCAGCATCCCCTTGATACCCAAGCCTGATCTCGACTCGATCATCATTTTAGAAAAACTCCACACGGTCTCCCAACATCTCACTATCGTCGTTGTCGAGTTCCTAATTCGCGCGACGCGCATCGACCGAGCTTTGCATTTTGCATCGCATTGCGCTTTCACTTACATACTCTCCGCCGCCACCTGGTGGCCTTTCACATCCCGGCGCACTCTTCGCGGCCGCGTCTCGTCCGCTCGGTTTACGTCATCGTCAATCTCTCGTTGCAGGCTACAGCGTGGAGTGGCAGGGCGAATGGATCCGAGTCTTCCGTCCGGACGTCGAGTGCACCAATGGCATCATCCACGTGATGGAGAAGGTGTTCCTCAAGGACAGCGACGTGCGGGTGACGGGCGGCGCGTCACTCGCCACCCTCGCCCCCCACCTAATCATGATGCTGATAGCCAAGTGGCACCTGTAAAATCCGTTCGCGTGTCTCGCATAGGTGCATCTATAGAAATTTCCTTGGGGCCGTCTCCGATCGTTCTCGCGCGACCAACAGCAATAGCAGCAGTACCGCGACGACGACGCAACAGAACGCAACGCAGGGTAGGCATGGTCGATCGTCCCGTTCATCCCGCTTAGGACGCTCGTTACACAGTGAACAGAGTGGGAGGGAAGGGGGGAGTAGGGAACGACAATCGCGAGGATCCGAAGGCCCGAGAGAATCCGAAAAACCAAAGACCCACAGAAGCCACGATCCGCGCGACAACTGGATCGGTGGATATACGCGGAGACATGACACGAGGGTCCGCGGATCTGAGGATTCGCTCGCGTTCGCGTACTCTACTCGCTACCAACGGACATGAGAGAGCGTGGGAAAGGGGGAAGTGTGAAGGGGAACGAAGGTGTTGGACCCGCTCGCGTTGGCGATCGCACGAGGAACGAAGGGAGCTCTCACCGAGGGCGCACCGACGGGAGGACGACCGAGCACTTCACGATCGCACGGCCTCAAACAGCCAGGATAGCCTATTATTTATTGAGTAATCGTCCGTGAATACTCTGACAGACAAACACATACACACACGCGCACACACACACATACACACACACATACGCGTAACAGACACATTCACACATAGCGGGACAATTTTACGGGTTAGGAGCGTTAATCGTACCAAATAAAATGATTAGTCGCGCGTATCAAGTTAATTTAAATAAATTTATCGACGGGAGGGTAGGACACAGGAGAAGGCAGAAGAGGAGATTTCGAGGTATCCACTTGGAGAGTAATGACGAAGGGCGGCTACGACGACGACGAGCGCGAGGCGCGAACCGGGTTGCGCGGCTCACTCATCGATCGCGCCATCATTGTGTCCGAGGCTGCGTTCAGGAGACACCTAGATTCAGCGAGCGCTTAGTGTCATTGGGATGTTGTTTCAGATCTAAAAGAATGCTTCAATCACAGGCGATAATCGCTCAACGGTTGCGCAACCGTTCTGTTTGCTAAACGCATCCCGAGTCCCCGTTCTCTCGAGGGACTGAGAGTTCGATTCTACATCAATCAGTAATTACGCTCTGTGCGACCTTCGTCCTCGCGCGTCGTCCCGAGAGACAGGCGCTTCACTTTCGAGCAACGGCGAGAGAGAGAGAGAGAGAGAGAGAAAGAGAGAGATCTCGCTCGGTTCCTTCGCGATTTTCTACCACTGTAATCGCGAGCGTATGAATCCGAGGTCCTTTCCCCTCCGCGACGAGCGAAGACGGCGGAGTAATAAAGCTGAGCGCACGGCACCGATCGTCCCTTTCAATTAACGGTGAGTAATACAAAGTCGAGCGTGATATCAGTCTCTCGTCCTCCGGGTCAATTAGCGGAGGAATGAGCGAGCGTCTCATCCGGGAGAGCGACGAAGACCCGGCATATCGGGACGAACCTTTTCGCCTCTGAAAGCCCGCCTTTGGGAGCTTCCGGATCCTTGTGTTTCTCGCGAGCCGGAATCGAAAATGTGTCTCAGGATGCCCGTGTCCTCGCATCCCCTCAAATCCCCCTGGATCCATGGATATTCGGTCCATGGACTCTTCGGGCAAGAGCACACGGGCTCGTTGGAGACTTCCGAATCCTCCGGAGAGGACCCCTCGGTTTGACACTTTGAGACCGGGTTTCTTCTGTCGAAGACAATTATTCCAGCCGCGATCGCGCAATTTCTACCTTCTCGTTTCTCGTCCCTCGTCTTATTTTGCGAACGTACAAGCGCGTCCCTCGACTGGAGAACAACTAATTGTCAGAGCGATCCGCGAGGAGCTCTGCAGATACCAGTACCTGAGTCCAAATCCGAAACTGCCGAGTTTCTCCTCGAATTTGCATTCCGCGCGCCAAATGCCGTTTTACACTGTTTTAAACCGCAGCGATATAAACACACATACCCACACACACACACAGATATGGTTTGTCTCTCCGTGTTCGGAACAAAGCTTCAAACGGCATTGTTTCTCCATCGCGCACCACTCCCGGTCTTAAGGGTTAATTGTCGCATTATTAGCGGCGGCGCGTATCGATTCACGGCAGCCGTCGGCGAAGTAGCATCGACATCGTCGACCGAGCGAGCCCTCACAGACAGGCGAGCGCTATAACGCGTCAATGTCATCTCGGTGCATCTCTCGCTGCGAGCGCATGACGGCGGGTCCGGTGAGCGTTTCCTCACTCCTCCGCCGAACTAAACACGCCGTCGTTCCCTTCTCGAGGACATCGCGTTCTCACCGTTTCGTTGTCACGGTAAATAAAGGATTAACGGCCGCCCGTGGACGGCCCCGACGAACAAACACTGCTAGGAATCATATCGTATATACACCGTGTCTACTTATCGAGAATATACTGCCACGCATCGCGGGCCGAACGAACTTGCGAAACGAGTTTTTGTACAATTATTATTATCAAAGAGGGCGAGTTGCGAAGAGGGCTCCGCATCCCGAGAGCAGCGATCCCTGGGAAAAAAATAGATGCATTAAGGGGTTACCCGAACTTGAAAGCACGGAGGTACTTTGAATAATGGATGTACGAGGGAGGAAAGGGGGAGGAAAACAAAGCAAGCGCGAGAGAGAAAGAGGAGGGAGAGATAGGTTGGGCTATTCTCTTTTTTTCAGCTTCTCTCATACCTCCTCCTGTAAACTCGTAATCGGAAGTAACTCCCTCCCGCGCATTTCGCGCTTTCCAGTTTCCTCGGTAACTCCTTAAGCGAGGAATCGACGGGAATCCATTCTGTCGAGCAGAAGAGCGTATAGCGACAACAACGAGGCGCTCGGCGCGACGTGGAAAGGAAGGGAAGAGAGCAAGAGGATAAAAGAATGAGTTCGCCGCGCGTCTTAATTCTCGTTAAGAGGAATTAGATCACTCGCGTAATCCCGTTAAGGGTAAAATTAAGACGGCTGGAAACGAGTGGGAGAGAAAGCGAAGAAAAAAGCACATACCGACACACACACACACACA